ATTAATGGGATTTCCCCAATGATCCCATTCTATCAGAGCTTTTACCCTGGTTTACACATAGGCTAGTCCTAAATTGTATATCAGAGAAATGTCCCCCTGAAGAAATACTTTGGTAGACACTTTGGAGCAGGGGCAGGGTGAGTCCTATGGTACCATTATTATAGTATATTATCAAATCAGTAAGCTCCCTACGCTGGCCTGGAGAGCTGACCATCAAGATCAGCATTGTTTCCCCAAGGGGGGAAGAATGTTCTGAGTCCAAACAATTGATATACAAACAAAATGTGTAGATTACAAGCAATGGAAATGACAAAAGACAACAAAAGAGAAACAAGAACCAGAAGGTCTGGATAACCAACTCTTTAATTAAAGAGTAAGACTATATTTAATATGGAGGTACTAACACGGGGCTACAGTAATTTAGTAGTCCATTAAATACTCTAGTGGATAGGAGCAGTTCTAAATGAAAATAAAATCGCATATTACCCAGCACTTAAAGGAGCTAACCAGGAATTCAGTCCTGCTTCTTCATCCTCCTCTACCGCCAACCCCAATGGTCTCCTATCAGCCCTGTTTCCTAACTTCTTGCCAAAATCTATCTGGGAAGTTTCTCTGCAGTTTAAAGATACCTAAGAGAAGTGGGATGGAAATGACACATTTGTCATTTCAGTGTTTCAGGATAAGACTGAATGTAGCTTAGCTTCTGTACAAAATGAGCATTATAAGCAAAATTCATTGTTCACTCACAGTTAATAAAAGATGGGACAAATTGAAAACAGGCTGGTCAATGAAAATCACCTTTGTTTATAACAGAAAAATAGGGCAGACACTTTATTCTCCTCTTTCTTTGGATGGTCCTGCCTTGTCATGATGTTCTGAACTATTAATAAAAAAATGAGGACTCACAGGACGACAAAGTATTTTTGTGCCATTTTTAAAGGTAAGAGTTAGTATGGGAGATATTGCTAGTACACCAACATAATGGGATACTTGGAAACAATCTTTTTCCCACTACCTAATTTTCTTTTGGGAGTAATTTTATTGAGGCAAAATTTATATATGATAAAATACACCCATTTTAGAGTACAGTTCAACAAATTTTGACAAATGCATATACCAGTGTAACCATGATCAAGATAGAGAGCACTTCCATTACCGCAAAAAGTTCCCTCTTACTCCTGTGCAATCCTGTGTATCCTCCAACCCGCACCTCTATCCTCAGCCCTAAGCAACCACTGATCCACTTTCTGTTACCACAATATTTTCAAACTGGATTCCATTAGGTATGCATAACAGCAGTGAGGATCAGTATTAAAAATTCCTTAATTAAAAATGTCCCCAGCATTTTAAACATTAAAAAGACTCTGAAACACTGGCTGTAGGAAAAAGAAAAAATTCAAGAAAATGTATATGCTTCAATGTTTTTGATAATGTGCTATATTTTAAAATTGTATTACAACCACTTAAGTGATAAAATGAGTCGGAAACTTTACT